ACACACAGATCCCTAGTTTCGAGTTTTCACACAAAAAGAAAATCAAGATGAACATGAACTATACCATATGATACATATGAACTTTGCTTTTTGCTCTCACAGAACAAATGATCAACTAAGCCAGCATCAATAAATGTACAAAGTCGGCACGAATAAGTCTTTTTGTGGAAATTCTTAGATTCATCGACATGTGGATTTTTTATATGAGATGCCAATGTTGCTAAGAGGTAAGAAAACACTTTGGAAATCGAAAAACACACTAAGTGATCAAATGCTCGAGATTGAAACTACGACTAAAATAAAATTAACAATCGTGAAATCGACTATACATGCAGAGTTACACAGACTTGTTGAGCCTTTAAATAAGATGAAAATCAAAGAATTTGTATACCTTTGGGACACATATCTTTAAACTTAAAATTATTTTTTGAATCCTTAATCTTATTAATTATAGATACATATATGACTGACATAAATTAAAAAATCTTATATGCATATCTCATTTCAATGTTGTGCTTGTACTAAATGCTTGCATGGATAACGTGTGACTGAAAGTCCTTGGAGATAGATTTAAGAGATCCACTCAACAAAACATGCATGAGATTTTGAATAATTTTTCTTTTTTTTAGATCGAATCATTATCTAAAGAATATTTTCGGTCTAAACAAAGGTAAGTGTGCAACATGTCCATGCATAATACGAAAAGTATATAAATATAAACATTACTGTTTTTACATATATGATTTTCAGTTTATTTGTTTGAGAAATATAAAAATTAAAGTTTAAACGACGCGAATTACATTCATTAGTTTTGGTTTAGTTTATGGTCGAATTCAGTTGAACCAAAACCACTTGAATCAGTTCAATGGTTCGGTTTAGTTTTATCCACGTGTCGAAGCAGAAGAGTAAAACATAATGAACTTTTCTTCTTTCTCTGAAGGACCCCACTTTTTTAACCTTTTTACAATTTTAGCAACACATATTTTGGCTCGTGCAGTTTCCACAGTAATCACCGATAAAGTTTGAACCTTTTCAGATTTTGATTTCTCTTTGAAAAAGTTTGGATTTTTGTAGCTACGAAAACTTTGGAAAGAAAGGTTATTGCAGCTGGATTTGTTGTTGAAGTGTAAGAGCTTTTTGTGTTAGTGGAGGAGATGCGTTATTTAGCTTCTCCATCGTCGGAATTTTGTTTGAGTTTTCGGTAAAGACGATCCATAGATGATTCTACAAACTTCTTCGAGTTTTGATTTCCGATTACGGGTTTATGCGTCTCGTCTTCTACTCTGTCCATGCTCGGTTTTGTTCCGAGATGAATCCGCGAGGAGCCGAGTTCTACGTCGGAGACTCAGGTTCACATTGGCCAATGCGAAGTTTCGGTTTATTTCATGCGGAGTTCGAGGGGATTCGAAGAGTCTAGGATTGGGGAATTCTAGTAGAAGAGCTGCGAATAGTCTTGTTGTTTCTAGGTTTTCGAATGAATTAGAAGAAGCTTCACAAGAGTCAGTGATTCAAAGCAATTTCACGAACTTTAGGGAAGATCCGATTGTGGATAAGCTTAGGACACAATTAGGTGTAATCCATCAAATTCCGTCACCAACTATTAATAGTAGTGTGATTGGTCTATTCGTGTTCTTCTTTTTCGTTGGTGTTGCTTTTGATAAGCTATTGACATGGAGAAAGAGACAGAGACAAATGGGTGGAGATGGAGGTCAACGAGGAGTAGGGCCATGGCCACAGGTTCCTACTAGCTTCTCCTTGTTCCTAGAGAAGGATTTGCAGAGGAAAGAGTCGGTGGAATGGGTGAATATGGTGTTGGGGAAGCTTTGGAAAGTTTATAGAGGTGGGATTGAGAATTGGCTTGTTGGGTTGTTGCAGCCAGTGATTGATGACTTGAAGAAGCCAGGTTATGTGCAGAGAGTTGAAATAAAGCAGTTTTCTTTAGGGGATGAGCCTTTGTCTGTCAGAAATGTAGAGAGGAGGACTTCTCGCCGTGCCAACGACTTGCAGTAAGTGTATAGTTATTGGCACTAGTAACTTTTTCCATGTAGAGCGAATGTTAGGATTGTCCTTACTTAAATTTCAGTGGGATGTTGTTTTCCTTACCCTGTTGTAATTTCCTTTTATAGGTACCAAATTGGCCTTCGGTATACTGGTGGTGCCCGCATGTTGTTAATGCTCTCTTTGAAATTTGGTGTTGTCCCAGTAGTCGTGCCAGTTGGTGTCCGGGATTTCGACATTGATGGTGAGCTTTGGGTGAAACTAAGATTGATACCGACACAGCCTTGGGTGGGAGCTGTATCTTGTTCATTTGTATCACTTCCAAAGGTCACATTTCAACTTGCAGCATTCCGGTTGTTTAATCTAATGGGTATGCTTTAATCTTGGTCTTTTGTTGCGTTCTCTTAACTTTATCTGTTTTGCTTCCTTCCTATCTCCTTCAAATTAAATAGACAAGCCTTTTATAGTGAATCTTTAAACTGTTGACTAGATTGGGTTAAGGTTAAGTTATCGACAATTGGTAGTTTAATGAAGAGACTTTTAGCCTTCACTTTTTCCACATCTCACTTCTTTTTTCTTGTCTCATGCTTGGTTTGGATGATGACATCAGGAATTCCTGTTCTATCAACGTAAGTTCTGTTGTGGCTGTACTTCACGTATTTTATTTGTTGAAATTATTGTTCCTGTCAATGTTAAATACTTTAATGTTTAGTGCTTGGTAAAAGAAAGACCATTTTGCGTTGTTAACATGAGGTATACAACTATAGGAAGGATATTCTTGTTATTTATCGCACTTCAGTACATTTTTAGGGAATTAAAAAAGCATAGAATTTAAGATGCAGTGGTGCATTGTTCTGATTATATACCAGTATTTCGTTTTGTTTGTTTATCTATGTCGCCTGTTTAAGCTTCTCCGTATCTTGAAATAGTAGTATCCTCCTTCCCTCCTATTGTTTTAACTTTTAAGTTTTAACCAGCATCGTCTCTTACAGGTTCTTGACCAAACTGCTTACAAAGGATTTGCCTCGATTATTTGTCCGACCCAAGAAGATTGTCTTGGATTTTCAGAAAGGAAAGGCTGTGGGACCTGTTTCAGAAGATCTAAAATCAGGAGAAATGCAGGAAGGCAATAAGGATTTTGTTGGAGAACTATCTGTTACACTTGTTGACGCCCAGAAACTTCGATACATGTTCTCTGGTAAGCTATACCATGTCAGTGTTTCCTTCATACCTGATACTTGGAGAAATTGAATAGACAGACAATCTGTGTTGTTGAAGTTTTAGTCTCTTCACGCAAGTTTCTTTGCCTTCGTTGTTTACAAAGCAGCTATAGGAATAGGTCTATGGTGAGATTCTCATTTTTTTACAAGTTCATTCAATCGGTTCACATTTTCTCTAATAATCGGTAACAGGTAAAACGGATCCATATGCAATTCTAAGGTTAGGGGATCAAGTTATCCGTAGTAAAAAGAACAGTCAAACTACTGTCTTTGGGCCTCCCGGTCAGCCAATCTGGAATCAGGTGAGCTGCTTTGGATGGTTCTTTCATAATCTGGTGGTGAATTATGATTAGTTAAGATGTTAAAACGTTATAGGATAAGTGTGTATTCTCAATCTTTGCAGGACTTTCAATTCCTTGTTTCAAATCCTAGAGAACAAGTATTACAAATTGAAGTCAATGATTCTCTTGGCTTTGGTGATATGGCTATTGGTACTGGAGAGGTAAATTATATTTCTTTAGCACAATTTTTGTTTGTAATTTGTAGAATAGTAAGTTGATGACGAAAAGTGAATGATAATTTAAGATGGTGATTTTTCTACTTCAGTGTCAAACTTTTTCATGTTTGATTGAGGAATGGTGCTGAATATCCAAGTTTCTGTCTGTGTAGCCTCAATACTTAGTTATATATCCAGGTTGATCTCAGATTACTACAAGATACAGTTCCTACAGACAGAATTGTGGTTTTACAAGGCGGTTGGAGTTTGTTTGGAAAAGGATCTGCGGGTGAGATTCTGCTACGGCTTACATACAAAGCATATGTGGCGGAGGAAGAAGATGACAGGCCCAATGTCAAAGCCATTGATGCAGATGCTTCTGATGATGAACAACTGTCTGATTCGAAAGAATTGGGCTCATTTGTCCGGAATGAAAAGGTTTCTTCAGATGATATTGGTGAAGAGTCAATTATGAACGTGTTGTCTGCGTTGATTGTGAGTGAGGAGTTTCAAGGCATAGTTTCATCTGAAGCTGGAGACAATAAACTTTCTGGAGGTGACTCACGTGAGGATCCAGTACCTTTTAAACCTGGGTTGGACTCAGTATCTCAACCTGCAGATCCTAGTAACGGGTCTGAAGGCAACAGGGGCTTATCTGATACGGAAAATTTTGGTAGAGGTTCAGGCTTTAATGGAGGTATACCGAGGCTCAATATCTTATGATGATTTCCTTTATATGCTTTCTTGACCTAAAACCCTAAAGCCTCCAAATTTCAGGACTAGCATTACTGTGGTTTGGTATAATCACGGGTATGTTGGTGCTTGCTGCTATCAACATGGAAGGCTCAAGTTTCTTAAACCCATAATATAGTGCTATACAGCTCACTGGAGAGTTTTGTTGCAAGTAAGTCTCTTATCTATACCAGGAGTACTTGAAATTTCTACCTATGGTTTTGACAACCACAGGTTCTTTCTGTCACTTGATTTCCTTAAGTTAGACCATGGAAACAACAGTGGTTTGCTCTGCATATAGTCAAGAACCAACCTTGCACCTCATATTTTCGAGAATAGTTCTGCTGTTTAAAAGATAGTTATTGTAGATATTGCTTTTTGCTAAATTTATGTTAGGTGTAAACTGTATAGTTTCTCTTTCGGCTGCTTGTAGTGTACTGAAACTGGTAAAATTATGCGTGACTTGAAATTGATACAGTGGATTGTTCTACCTCATGTGACATAGTTCTGTCTAGATATTGTCATGTCTGCTATATATCGATAGTATCTAGTCCATCTGCAATTGGCTGACCAAAGCCTCTTTATTCAATGGCAGGTTGGTTGTTATCTCTTCCCAACGTTAGATATGGCTTATAAAGAGGTCTCAGTTTTTCATAAATTATAATTTATGTTGTATGCATACCATTAGAAGATTGACGCTTACTAGAGGCATGAGAGTTTTGGATCTATTTTGTCCATTCTCTTACTATAATTTTACTGTTTACACGTGTGGTTGGTATACATGAAAATATAAACAAAAAGTTCTGTATATTTGCTTTCCGAATAAAGTTCTTGCAAAGAAAAGGCTCTGTTATAAGACAACAGTTACAAATTTGTACTTGGACAAAAGCTTCTTCTGCGATTCCTTGGCGGGAATTCACATTTGAAAGTAATGGTGTGTTCTGGCCTCTTTTAGTATATTGCATCTCATCAGCTACTGTAGCTGTGCTCGTGCCATAGATCTGTTTTTCTGAACTAACGGGGAAAATTTATGGATACCACTATGGAGATTCTACACAAGGTACACGTCTCAGTCTCTCACTATTGAGCAGTATAAAATATATAAAGTTATCATCGATGGTTTCATTGGATTAGTAATTTAGTTGTAGGAGTAGAGCTTGGTTCTTGGTATCATCTTACATTTCCATTAGAATCCGCGTAATGTCTGCTTCATTTTATGTATAATAGTTGAAGCTAAGTTTGAGATGTCTGCTTGTTTTGTTTGTGGATCAGTTGATGTCTGTTGCAACACATGTTGAAACTAAGGTTTGAGTGTTATATGGTCTTTTCCAGGCACAGCTTTGATGGTAAAACAAGAAATAACAAGAAGCTGCATAAATGACTTTATTTATTTGAATAGACATAAACTTTAAGCTAATGATACATATAAATGATTCATTTATTTGCATTATTGCTAAGTAATATATAGAAATGGAGATGGAAGAAAACATGTGAGCAGTGGAGATCACGTGAGGCACATGGAGAACAGTTCATCTTATAGGACCGTTGACTTGTACGTTTCATGATCTCTCTG